TGGGTAGGTAGTGGTTGCGTGTTACCAGCGGGTGAGTTATGTCGCATCACTGTACAGCCTTGGCAGGGGCCATGGGCTGCCGAGGGGTCTCAAGTGCTCAAACGTGTTATCGGTAGATTATGGGTAGCGATATCGGTTAAAATCATCACCTGGGATGGAAAAACACTCTGATCGACTCATAACGAACTGTCCTTATCGGTAATTTTCCTCTGGTTATCGGTGAAGGCTTTTTATCAAAAGGGCAAGAATTTAAGGGTCCTGCCAAGACTAAACCAAGAGGCGCAGGGCTATTTTACTGTCCCATTTGCCTTTCAATTATCCCTAAAAAACTGTAACAATATACCCCATATTCTATCTACTTTTACGCTGAACCCGAACCCCAAAGCCCATAACCCTAAAACCTATGCCTGTGCCAACACCCCCGGGGTCCTTCGGAGCGCCTCGTCGAGGTCCCACGGGCGGTTTGTGGCAGCTAGGACCATCACCTTGTCCACAGCTTAAGGTTTAGGGGTTTAGGGGTTCGAGTTTAAGGTTTCGGGTTTAGGATTTAGGGTTAGGGTTCAGGGAAGTATGTAATCATAACTGAGAGAGCTTCACTCTCTTCCCCAATAACCAGGGATAACACAATTTAAACTCTATTTTAGAGACCCAAAAAGGAAGCCCAAAAAGTTTTAAGTTCTTCTGTTGGCTAAGTAAGTTAAGGTAAGGGTTTCAGGTTTAAGGTTTCGGGTTTAGGATTTAGGGTTGAGGGTTCAAGGATGTATGTAGTCATAACTGAACGAGAATCCTGTGAAGTAAGTCTGCATTTCAATCCCCAAACCCTAAAACCTTAAACCTTAATTAAAGTCTGGGTGAACCTTAAGGAAGGTATCTGTCACTCGTCATTCCACATTCTGGTTCTGGCAGGTTAGAAGCGTGGGCCCCTAATAGGGCCCCTAGCCCTTTTAGGGGGATTCTAGGGACCCTAAAGGGTGCATAATATGTGTTATAATAGTCATAGAAGGATTTCATAATTAAGGGCCCATACTAGGTGGCCATGGGTTTTAGCCTTTCATTAAAACCTAAACCTTTAACCCTCAACCTTAAACCCGAAACCTTAAACCCTAAACCTTAAACCCGAAACCTTAAAGCCTAAACCTTAAACCCTAAACCGCAAACTGTTGGGGCATGTATGGGGCTTGAGGCACTCCGGGCCTGACCCAAACATCTGTATGAACATACGAGCCATATTGAAAACTCCTTGAAGGGGCTCATATAGGGGACTATGTAGGGTTGAGGGTTTAGGGTCTAAACTCCTTAGAGGGGTCAAATAGGAGGGTTCTATAGGGAACTACTGTAAAGGTTATTAAGGGGGATACCAGGAGTTTAGACCATGGCTCACGTGCTCGGCGCCCAATCGGGCCTGCACATAAATATGCACAAAGAAATATGATATGATGTAGAAAATACTGTTAGAACGCGACTTTTCGGCAAAGGGTTGTTTGCGTACATCATTGGCCAGTTTTGTCTATTGTTTGGACGCTTGGACTCATCTACCTAACGCCAGGATTGAAGGGATTTAGGCTTGGAAGTGCTTGCATGGCCGGTCTCACAACTATGAAATGTAAACTGCCACAGTATATATTAGGTTATATAGGGATAATGGACAAGAAAATGGAACCTATCAGAGTATATATTGGGATATCAAGGTCGGAAGTGATCAGGGCTTACAAGGGGTTATCACGAATGTTTATGTTGTTCGCACAGCGGCCGGTCCAGCAAACACTCTGAGACATGCCGAAGGGTGCAAATGATAACTACTGCGGAAGCCGATTTACTTAGAATAGTATGTCAGGGTACCATAATAAATTCGTGGTACGAGTGAATAGTGTTGGCTTTGGCTTGGGCCTACATGCGAATGAAGGGCCTCCCGCAAATGTTGCGAACCTGAGTCCCAAGGAGACTTTTGAATGCACATGCGCGGACGGCACGCAACTCTGGAACAGTTGACCTTATTACAAACCTTTGGGTAATAAACAGACTTTCGACTTGAATGCAACAAGTCCGGAAAACTGAGCCATAGACACACTCCTTACACCAGCATTCCTTTCCGCAGCACATCAAACAGAAAAAATCAGCCAAAGTAGAACAACACTGGTAGAAATTTCCGTTAGATTCAACATTATACAAGACTCCTATCCCCATAGCAGCCCTTAGCCATTAACTGAAAGTGGTGTTGACGAGCTGCTTTGGGGGAAGGTACACGTGTACCCTTACAGTAGGAAGTTTCGAGTACTTGGGTTGCAGCTTGCTGCGCTTGGTAGAAACCTTTGGGAAAAACTGTGAACTGCCGGGACTCTAGGTCTTGTAAAGCTAATACTTGCATTGGGCCCTAGAGTCTGTGCATACCCTAGGGATCCTAGTATAGGAGTAATTAATACCTACATTGGAGCCTAAAGTCTGTAAATACTACCTATATTTGCTTATTTGGCTCCCAAGGGATAATCCCTACATGAGCCATAGTCTAAACGCCTAGTACCCCCTTAGTAAGCCCTGCAATCCTCCCCTATATTATCCCCTTTCCAACCTCTCTTTAAGGAGTTTAGACCCTAAACCCTAAACCCTAAATGACCCCCTTTAAGGAGTTTAGACCCTAAACCCCAACCCTCAACCCTGTACAACCCCCCTTTAAGGAGTTTAGACTACAGCTCATATCATCCCCTACATAATCCAAGTTTCCATTTCATTTTCCATTTTCTTTTCCATTTGACTATCGATTATTAGGGGCCCCTTCAAGGAGTTTAGACTATAGCCACACAGGGAGCCTTACAGGAATCCCTAGCCCAGGAGTCGCCGCGCCTGTCGCGGTTGCGCCGGGCCGTCCTCATCTTCTGCTGTAGCCGAGCCCACACCTTTTAGGGTTTTAGGGTTTTAGGTTTAGGGTTGAGGGTTTAGGGATAGGGAGATTTCAGCCCAAAATGGCAAGATGTACTATTATTAGTATGAGTATCATGCTTAATATCATTATTAACATTATTATTCGTATTATAATATTACAATGTGGTTCCTGCCCCCCAGCCATTAACAGTCTATAATCTGTGCATGAGAAGGGGCAGTACCCAAGATATATTTTTAGCAATAATGATAAAAATATTGTTATTGCTATTATCACGACTATGAGTGTTTTCAAGGGGCAGCCAAGAATTGCAAGATGTACTATTAGTGTTACCTTCATTGTCACTAGTATCTGGCATTGTTACTACTGTGGTTATTATTGAACAGTACTAGGATGTTGACTACCATTATTAGGTTGCAATTCTCATTCTTTCGAAGCTTTCATTGCTACTGCTACTATCACTATCTTTTATTCCCTATTGTTCTGGCTTTTGTACTACTATCATTACTACTATCTTCTCATTTCTTGTACTAGAAATACTATTACTATTTTAGTACTACTAGGATTACTACTGCTCGTGTTTTCAAAGGCTACTGTGCGCCAATCCACATGGGAGTTGCTTGAATCAGTGGCCTAAATATCTCATCA